ATTTGGAAATTCCTAAGCGGTGGTGTGTTTGATCCTATGCGGGTCGGCTATTTTGAATTCATTTAAGTTTGTTTGGTATAAGTTAATTTGGATAGGTTGCGTTTTGTGTTATTTTGAGTTAGGTTAGGTTACGTTAGGTTGGGTTAGGTTTTGTTAACTCCTCGCGGTTGTTGATCTTGTGGGTTTTAACGCCGTTTCGGAGGACCATATTACCTCCCTGACGATTATGGCGGTATGTTCTCCCGACAGGTTGTAACAATTTGCTTCACGGCTTTGCGTAATAACTCAAGAGATGGTAGTCTTATTTTTTTATAAAGTGTTTTAGTTTAATTCATGAACGTTCGTTCGTAACGATGGACGGTTTAAACTCTCGAAACTAGTAATCGACATGATGACATGTCCCTGAACCGCCTTGGGCCTCGTGTGCCAACCTGTGCTTGCGTGTGTGTGTCGTGGAAGGAGCAATAAGGTGTCCCGTGAACTGTCCCGGGCGATTCCATTGCTTGAGTAAGTGAATTCGTTTCACTGTTCAGCAGAACTCATTGCCCGAATTGATTGAATCAGTTCGGCCCCGTGCTGCTGCACTGGCAGGAACAGAAGTTGGTTCGTGTGCGCGCGAGAATGGATTAAGCGACTGTCATCAGATTGTATCAATCCTTATGACCTGGGCACTGCGTCTGTTCCAATTTGATTCTTTTAGTCTGAAAAGTTATTTTCTCTTTCTTCCGTTCAGCGTCTCTGTAAATAACTCGATGAAACTGAGTGCTCTTCGAGGAGCTGATAGTCGCCCAGCTAAATCAGTCCCCTATTAATTGAATTAAAGGTCTTTGGTTCCTATCTTCAGCCAGATGAATCTGCCATCCATCACAAACCCTCATATCCCTTTCCTTTAAAATATGTTTTAATAATATCCTTCTGTGTACTCTTTTATTCCCCAAGTGATGTTCTTCCTTTAGGTATATAGACTAAAATTATATATGAATTTATGGTTAGGGTGATTAAGTCGAGAAGAGTGAGATGGGCGGGACATGTAGCGCGCATGGATGGGACAAGAGGTGTGCACCGGGTACTGGTTGGGAAGCCTGAGGGGAAGAGACCGCTGGGGAGACCTAGACGTAGAT